CTCTTTGTGCGTCACGAATGACCTGAGAAAGATCATCAGCCGGCTCATCTTCTGTGGCTACCTCTTCTTCAGCTTCTCCCATTGCAGTATCATTGAAGCACGCACCATCGGGAATAATATCATTGTCGTCCCATTGTTCTTCTTCACCTTCTTCCATTACAACACCGGTTTCTCCGTGCTTTGTCCAACAAATATAGTTTGGCATGAAACCCGACTTAAACAAGTGTGAATGAAGAGTCCTTGAGCAAGGATATTCCACCGTATTCTTACATATGGCACATGGGCAGCACATGAAACCATCGCGTTTGTTTGCCTTGACCGCACGTAACAAAGAATGCACGCCGTCAATGAACTCTTGGGAGCGGCGATCAGCATTATACATCCAATGACGGCTCATCTGCATTACATGACATAAATACCATATTAAAACCTAGATCATAATTAATTATTTATACAACATGCGTGCCACCACAAAAGATACAAATTTATGAAAGCATCGCTACAATGTAGACAATCCCAACTACCACTAAAAGAACTAAAGCTAAAATACATTTCAATAGCGGTAGGATTTCACGACCAATCTCAACTAAAATGCAGACAGATCCCCGATTGTGCAACATCTTTGGACTTCTTGGCTGGATCAACTTTGCCTCATTAGCCGTCGATTCCATCATTGTTGCAAGATATTTTGCACGAGTTCAACATACTCTTCCTCCCAAAGAGAAGCCTGAACATCGCCCACCGCCATCCCAATGAAATTAAAACAAAAAATTAGAACTTTAATCACAACCATCATGAAAATAGGTATAAACTAACCATAATCATTAAATACGATAAAATAACTCACATTGCGATCCGGACACTTGTAGAAGATACGATCCTTGTTGGGACCCTCCTTCTTCACTCGGTACTCCATCACAATCTTCGTCTCATCACGACACTTGCCGCATGGAATGAGAGGGAGGCCGGCCTAAGTCGCTTTGGAAACCCATGAGAGGCCGAGGACCCTAAGCGAGTTGCCATCTACTCTCTATACTCATTTTTTAATACACTATAAATTTCTCCTTTTATAAACAAATAAAATTAAGAAACTATAAAATTATCTAGATCTCTAAACAATGATATTTTTAATGGTCATTGTGTTCTCGCTTTCTTTATCGGCGGTAAGTAATTCACATGATATTTCCGCAAATTAACGAGAAGAATGGGAGTGTACACACAAAGCAGACTCTGCGATGATATCGGGGCGTGTGAATAAATAACCATCCGTACTAGTTGACCTTGCTTACGTGATCATCTCGTGAGCATTTCTCCACCGGACGGCACCGTGCTTGGCCACGGAAGAGCTCTAATTCTACGAGGAAGGAACACGGTCTTCCACGACCGTTGCCGCTCTCCTCGTAGAATCAAAGCTCCTCCTTGACGTCCGTTATTATTTTCGGCAGAGAACGTGCTTTCGCCGAGATGAACACGGTCCGCAAGTTCAACTAGTATGGATTTTCTATAATTTTCTAACTATTTTCTAAGTTTATATTTATATATATACTACGTTTGGGTACGGTGATTGATGGACTCATTGCGACGATATCGGGACATGTGAATAAATAACCATCCATACTAGTTGACCTTGCTTACGTGATCATCTCGGCGAACATTTCTCCACTGGACGGCACCGTACTTGGCCATGGAAGAGCTCCAATTCTACGAGGAAGGGAACACGGTCTTCCACGACCGTTGCCGCTATCCTCGTGAGAATCAAAGCTCCTCCTTGACGTCCGCTATGCCGCTTTCGGCAGAACGTGCTCGCCGAGATGAACACGGTCCGCAAGTTCAACTAGCTACTTTAACCTTATTTCATGTAAATATGCAAGCTTGAAGTGATTTTGAGCTCAAATTGCTTACAAATGAAAAAAACCACCACAATAAAGAACCATATATATATATAGTGAACAAAATGAGATAAGACAATGGTGAAAAATGAGAGTATGAGATTGGTAACCTTTACAACTGAAGAATCGACGGAGGAATTGAAGAAATCGGCGGAGGAATCGAATAATGGATGGAGGAACAATGGAGGAGGGAGGAAGCAAGAACACTAGTGCAAAGTGAGCTTCAAAATGTCTTTGAGCTCGGCTCGGGGAGGAAGAAGGAGACGGCGGGATATAAAGAGGGGACCTTTAGTCCCGGTTGGTGGCTCCAACCGGGACTAAAAGTAACTTTCTAACCCGAGGCGCAACCACGGCCCGAGTAGACCTTTACTCCCGGTTGGAGCCACCAACAGGAGTAAAGTATACCTTTAGTCCGGTTGGTGGCTCCAACCGGGACTAAAGGTCCCCGCCACCTCTGTCTCGGGCGCTTGATAGCCGTTGGGGCGGGGACCTTTAGTCCCGATTGGAGACACCAACCGGGACTAAAGGTATTTCTAATCCCGGCATAAAAATTCCGGGACTAGAGCCCATTTTGGCCGAGGATCAAAGGCCTGTTCTCTACTAGTGGTATTGATCGTTGTTTGTTACCAATAATTTATGCTTTATTATTTTAGCTAGTGGTTCAATGCTTAAAAAATGTCTTCAAAACGGTATCTTCCCATTACTAGTTATTAGAGGTCCAAACAAAGCCTCCCAATTAATTTTGACCAGACGTGCTAGAAAAAAAGATAAATTATAAAAAAATCTTACAATAATCAGAAAGATCTGGCCATTAATATTAATAGTCATTACATATGTTCTGTTTTCAAAAAATACATCTATTACTCTTTTTACCCTAACATCTCTAACCATTATTGTTCATCACGTCTCTCTAGGTGGCATTTGTCAGTCCTAGAGCAACCTCGTTGTGCCCCTCTCCCCGACGGCTCTATCGGGCAAACAACGGGCTATGGATTGGCTCAACCGACTTGCCAGTCGGTCTCACCGTTCTATAGTGTTATCGCTGAATTCAAGGTCATGTGCGGCCTCAGACGCGTTCTATTCCTTGCTGGCCGGGGTAGATCTAGGCCTAGGGTCTCACTACCTGAATCTCAAGCTTTGACGAGTTTTTTTTATCTCGGGCACTCGGTAAAGACTGTCTTTGCCGAGTGCCCAAACTCGAACACTCGACAACGACACGACCCTCGGCAAAGCTAGTCTTTGCCGAGTGCTCAGTTTCAACACTCGGCAAAGACGTCCTCTTTGCCGAGTGCTCAGACATGCCACTCGGCAAAGACTTTCTTTGCCGAGTGTCAACGTCTCATACTCGACAAATTTTGGCCCGCCGTTAAACCAGCCTACCGCCGTCACCTCTTTGCCGAGTGTACAAATGCAACACTCGGCAAAGAGGCTCTTTGCCGAGTGTCAAAGGCAGACACTCGGCAAAGTATAATTGTTTTTTGACTCCTGCACTTCAAAAAATTTCACCTCTCCACATACCACATTTGGTACTCCATGCTTAAGTTTGGTGTATTTTTGAATTTATTTGCTATATTTAACTAATTAATTGCATTTCAAGCAATTTTTTGAATTAAGTTAAATTTGAACCGCAAGTGATTCAAATATTTGGAAAAATGAGTATAAAATTGATATACATGTTATTCAACCCAGTTTGAGGCCTTACCTATAAGATTATAAGGGTTTTCGAACATCTTATTTCGGAAACACGACCCCGAGCGTGTGGTTGAATGGTTTTTAAATTCTATAAAAAGCAAAAAAGCAAAGGAAGTCTGAAAATCATGAAATTTGATAAGATGTCATGATATCATATGTGGAGGCTGTGGTAAAAAATTGAGAAGGTGTCGCATAAGTTGTCACATAAATTGCTTACAAACCGAAACATCTCCGAAGAAATTTCACGATTGTTGAGAATGATCTGGTAAGATTTGGAGTGAAAGTAACGGTCGAGTTGTGGTTTGACTCCGAAACTTTTTGTATAGCGAATAGACATCAAAGATCGTGTCATGTTAAATTTTAGTGATTTTTTGGATCCATTTGATAATTATTAATTTTTAATTGCAATTATATAAATGGAATTTGAGCTATAACTACATGAAATCATGGTCTATTTTTCGGTGAAGCATCAAAAATTTGACAAGGTATTTTCAAAGTGTATTGGAACAAATTTGGAAAAAACGGTTAAGGGAAACGGAAAGGAAATAGAAAAGTTTTTTAAAAAAATATCTTTGCCGAGTCTCCTATGGTTAGCACTCGGCAAAGTATAGTCTTTGCCGAGTGCCTTATAGGTTTGACTCTCGGCAAAGATTTTTAATGTATTTTTTAAAAAAATCCCGGCTTTGCCGAGTGTCGGATCGCGGACACTCGGCAAAGGCCTGACCGAAGACTTAACTGGCACGGCCGAGACTCACTCATGCACGCACGTACACTCCCGTCCCCTCGCTCCCTCACCGCCGCTGCCAGCGCCGCCCCCCGCCCTGCCCGTCATCCTCGCGCCGCCGCACCTTCTCCCGCGCTGCCCCGCTCGTGCCCACCCGCTGTGCTCGCGCCCGGCGCGGTCGCCCGCCGGCCGCCCCCGTCACCGCCCCGCACGCCACCCCGCCCGCAACGCCGCGCGCGCCCGCCAGCCCACGCCGGCCGCTCCCGCCGGCGGCCCACCGCCTGGACTCGTCTCGCCCGCACCCGGCGCCCGTCCCCGCGCGCCGACGACGCAGGCTCCCGCGGCTGCCCCCCGGCGTCCCACACCCGGTGCCCTCCCCCACGCGCCGACGACGCAGGCTCCGGCGCCCGGCCTCCTGCGCAGTACCTAGGTAATCCCTTGTTCATCTCTTTCATGTTCCCTTTGTCTGATAGAAATACGGTAAAAGGTTCCCTGCTGCAGAACATTAGTGTTTCGAATTGCCTCATTCCTAGTTCCCCTGGAGTGAAATGTTGTAATATCATTTTATCTGTCTGTAGAATGTAGTTTCATTGAATTCATATTCATACTAAGATCAAGTGCAAAAAAAAGCTTTCACTAGTAGAGTGATCGATGCATAATTTTTTAAGTTTAGCTTTCACTAGTTAGGTAAAATCCTAAAGCTTGCGTGATACAGCAGCCCCGTTAACCTTTTTGCCGGCAATAGGCAAGTGGCTTAGTGGAAGAAATTTTAGAAGGGGGAAAGCATGAGAAATTGCTACAACGACAAATCAAAAGCAAAACCACTTAAACAACATTTAAAGGTAGACGTGTTGACTATTGTATTTGTTTTACAGTGGACAATTCCAGAAATAGTTTCCATATAGCATTAAAAACTTGACCGTTGTCAGACTCCATGGGTTCAGGAGAAGTAGGTACTTCTGGTTCTTCGGCTGGTGAATCGTTGGCTTCTTTCGTTGTGCCATTTGACTCTGGTTCTTTTGCAGCTTCTTCTGGGTCAGTTGGTTTTGACAAATCTACATCTTCCGGAGACTTTCCATCTCTAGCTACCACATCTTTGGTCATGCCTGAAACAACAGATCAACATTTTCCATAATTATTGCAATCACAGTTAACAAGCAAATGAATGGTTATAGTTAAGATCTTGAAAACTGACTGTGCTCATTTTCAGCACTTTTCTTTTGCCGCTTTAGCACTTCATAACTTTGTGACACGTTTACTTCTGGCTGTACACTGCGAAGCCTTGCACTTAATCTAGTACCAGAAACCAGCTGAGCAACAGGCGCTGCTTGAAGAATAGAGTTATCTTCATCATCCACAACCTGCTGTGGGCCCCCCTGTGAAGCAATTTTATCACAAAAGGACACCAAAGATGGGTCCATCTGTGACAACATACCTTGGACCTGGCCAAAAAGAGGTTCATTAGACATAAGAATGATAATCTGTAGAGGCATTGTCGAGAACACAATATAGGAGAAAGTGAGAACAAACAAGATACCACATCTCTGAGTTCACATGCTCTACTGACGATCCTAGATCCATTGTAGTCATCCCCATTGTAAGTCTATAGGTCACAGAAGGGGAAGTTCGGCATTATTTAAGCTGTCATCCTCAACTCTCATTACTGAATTGTAATGTACTGTCAAGAATCAAGAAACTAAGTTCACCAAAAGATGTACCTTTGCATTTGAGACAATGAGATCAATATCCTTCATAAATGCTGCCCTGGTAAGGTACTGTCCAGAGTCCACCCGCTTCAAGACAGTAGCCATATCCATGGGCTCCTCTTCTGATACCGGGAAGTGAAATACATTGAACCTTTTGTTGTACAAAATGCTGAAAAGATAAGCAGTCACACTATTAGCTCTATCAGGTTTCAAAAGTCAATTGAACAACAGTGATGAGATTGCAAGGGATAAAGGAAAAATAAATAAAAAGCTACCAACAGAAGCACTTGTGTTTCAAACCAAATTTAAGAAGGTAGATTTTATGATTTTGAAATATCACAACTGCCTGCTTCTATAATAAGAGTAAGCTGCAGACCGGTTACAGATATCGCGGAGACACATCCTCATTCGACGAACAGCATGCTGCTCAGCTTCTGCCTTAGCCTTTAGCTCAGAAACCTTAGGGCCCTCCACTTCTTTCGGGGCTTTGGGAAGATCAATAGCAGACTTCTGTTTCTTTGACTTGTTTCTTGATTCCTCCGTTTGGAAAGAGAGCAATGACTCGAACAATATACTGAAGTATCTCAATCTATCGTCATAACTTGGATGATCCACTTGATACCTATATCACACAAAGATTTTTATTTTCTTGGTGAAAGATAAGATAGGAGGAAATTCAGTGAACATTACATGAAGCAGGTGACAGATTCACAAATAAAATGTTATACAAAGAACTAAAGTCCAAAAGTCAATAAAAAGGAAACAAACTGTTTCCTCAATTATGTCCCTACCATTACAGCATATTTAGCGCCTAGGCCAAAGCAGATTTCTTTAAAAAAATTAATGAGCAATACCATTTACAGAGATCAAGAGTCAAGAGTACAAGACTAATAATAAAAGATCAGTAACAAAGAAATAGTACATAATGGAGAATTAATCCATCTAAGTAACAGGTAGGCAATAATCACTTTATATCTAGCTTACATTGTAAGGGCAAGCCAACACAGCCCAGGAAAAGTAGAAAAACATTTGGCAAGGAACATACACATTGCGAGAAGAGAATATGGAAGCTCAATAATGCTATATAGTGGACAATTCCAGGAAAAGCATTGGCGGCTCAATAATGCTATATAGTGGACAATTCCAGAAATAGTTTTTTTAACATATGGTAATTGTTTCTGGAATATTATTTTACAAAACAGTAGCTCACTTGCTTCCACAAAACCCTAACCATCTCAAGGCATATAAACTGTACTGTAATTCTCTAACTAAAACATGCGTGCTTTGGGTCTCATCTTGCATTGGAAAGTAATATGATAGCAGCAGGCATATAAACTGTACTGCTAGCTCTAGGTGTATTGTATATTTGTATCACATGCATCCAAAAATTCTTTCGAACCTGTGCACCAGAATGCTATATCATGCTATCATGTTTGGCATATTATATATATAATAATAAATTAACACAATTCCAACAAATAAACGATTAGTTAGTGAACTCACCAGCACAGCCAGGATCAATGTCAAAAATAATATATATATTATTACATGATTCATGGTTGAATGTGAATCCAATGCATATGCATATGTGGTTATCGGCCATCGTGCCGTACGTTTTTTTTTTTGCAGGTTTTAGAAACCTCACCATGTAGGGGAGGTTCTGTCAAAATTTTCAACTAAACCCGTATGTTCTTTTTTTGCAGAGAAGAGCCCATTGGAGCCGAGCCGGAGTACCTCGGCGACCCCGATCATATTCCTCGCCACTGCGGGTCTGCCTACACCGCGTTGCCTTGCCACTGCACCGACCCGCCACGGCCCCGCTAGCCTGACTCCACCGCCACCCAAGGTATAACCCCTCTTTCCGTATCATGTTCATAGATTACATAACCAAGTTAGGTGTCTCCCGTTCGAAAGGGATACGGTTGAAAGTATGCAGATCTTTGCATATTTATAACTGTATGTGTTTCGAATTGTCCATATTTTTTGGACAGCCCGAGGATGCGTAGATGGGGTTAGTTTTCATGGTCTACTCCGATCCGAGACAGAGTTTCGGCATCATCTCCCTATTTTTCTCCGGATACACAATCTCCCTGGCGGGACGTGTATTTGGAGAAGAGCGGGGAGGTGCTGCCGAAATTCTGTCTCGGATAGAAGTAGAGCATGGAAACTGACCTCATCTATGCATCCTCGAGTGGGATTAGGACCTATCTTCACCTATTAGATAGTAGGATCCTCGTATAGATGCAATGGATTCTTATATTACTCGCGTATATGGTAAAGGATGGATGATCGTGAGTAGATGTACACTAGCCGGAGGGGTTATGGAAACTAGACTGATGAATGGATGAAGAAGACCAATGCTTTCTTGGAAGCAGCATTTCGGGAGGCTAAAGAAACGGATAAAGTTTGGTGTCCCTGCAGCGAGTGTGAGAACAAGCGTAAACAAACAAAGGTGGACATGGGTAAACATCTTGGCAAGTATGGATTTATGGCAGACTATACCCGGTGGACCCTCCATGGTGAAGGACGTAGGAGAGACGAGGTCGTGAGACAATGCATCGAGGATCTTGATGCTGATGGCGGGATAGGAGACATGTTAGGTGACTATCATGAGGCACACTTCGGTGAAGGACGTAGGGATGAGGAGCCAGAGGCAACCGCAAAGGCGTATTACGACATGTTGTCTGCGGCACAGAAACCCCTTCACGGCTAGACAAAGGTCTCTCAACTAGATGCCATTGGACGCCTTATGGCTTTCAAGTCCTAGTGCCACCTGAGTCGAGACGCCTTCGATGCTATGCTGACAGTTTTTGGCACTTTGCTTCCGGAAGGTCACATTCTACCAAGGAACATGTACGAGTCGCGGAGACTCCTTCGTGTACTTAAGATGCCATATGAGCAGATACATACTTGTCCAAAGGGGTGCATCTTATTTAGGAAGGAACACGCGGAAGCTAAGCACTGTCCAAAGTGTAAATCCTCTAGGTTCCTTGAGGTAGACTATGGTGATGGTCTCAAGAGGCAGCTTGACATCCCCGTGAAAATCCTACGGTACCTTCTGAAACGACCTGATTTCCGCAAAGGGAAATCCACAAAGTCAAAGTGTAATAAGACCGTTGTAGATCATATTATCCAAATTCCAGTCGAATATCACATCCATACAACGATAATATCATAGTACAAATAGTGCGGAATTACATAAATTATTACATCGCCGCATTGGCGGAATCAAAAGTAGCATTCATTCAGAACAACTTGAAGATAAGATCGCCAAACTTGAGCGTAGGAACGAATGCCTCAACCGTCAAACTCCTCGGAGCTATACTCCTCAGCAGAACCTGTGTGCCAAAATTTATCAGTACGATTTGTACTGGCCACTCCCACCCTATGAGCATTGCTTTGTGGAAATTGGATGCAAGTTGGATATAATCAAAAGGAACCTATAAGGCTGGGGTTTCCTATGTTTTAGCATATCAAGTATATAAGAATAGTTGGTCAAGTTTTAACACCATTCCCACACCCATTCCACCCCATTTCTGTCCAGAGCCAGGTTATGATCCTAGGATCGATATACCACCATCACCATATCACAACCATACCATCGCTCAGTCGACAAGCCAACTCCCTCTCGGCACTGTCTCAAGGCCCGTAGCCCCTGGCTACATCCGAACACTCACTCCCAAGGGGAGAAGAGAAGGACTCATCTCACTATCTAGTTTAAGCGAAACCCAGGAAAGGTCCATAGCCGACAAGTCGGCATATGTATCGATCGATCAACCATACACTCTGCAGAGGTTTTACATAACCACAAGATCTGCCTTCCTCGCTGACCATCGTCAACTGGGCTGATTCCGGTCGCTTGCTAGTCTAGGATAATACCACTCTACCATTCAGCCCTGGTACACCCCAAGTCTAATCTGGGGTGGCTAAAACTGTGAGTCATGAGCTGGGTCCACAAGGTCTCCATGAAGTCTCGGAAGGGTGTGGGGGAAATCCTCTGTGCCCCGTACCTCCTTACACTGTCCGCTATCAACCTAGCAGTAGTGGCAATATCCTACCCAGTAGTCCGGCCGTCCCGCACCATATAGGGCGAGTGGTACGTAAGGCTTCCTGGTGAATCTGAGTACTAGTAAGTCCTTAGTGATGACCAAGCTAGAATGTCTTCATCAGGGTTTCCATTTATTGTGCCACCACAGCACCTCCACCCAGGGCTCCTCCCATCACAGGTTCACACCCAGGGCCACCTCATATACCATTTACCCACCACAGGTATCCATTCCAGGGGTGCCCAGGTAGCACCCCATGGCAAGACTTGCCCCAGGCTCGTCGTATACTCCAACTTGGTCAACACAACCCTCACCCTCCATGCACCCAAGTCACACACGCATCACTCTTCCAATAGTCCAGATAACACCAGTTTTTCACCACGCATCAATGTAGTACAAGCGTAGTGGAAGTAATAAGCAATGAAATATAGCAGCAAACGTGTGACTAGCCTAACAGCAGGGTGAGCAGGGGTAAGGTTGCGTCAAGGTAAAGGCCATCAAGAAAGCATACTACCATGCAAGTCCTATCATAGTGTGATCATAACAATAAAGTAAAGCACTAGCATTTCTATTTTAGCCATGCGTAATAGGTGCTACGAGATTGGGTGGGATGTGGCACCTTCAGTGTAGTCGTCTCCGTACTCCTCACGGTACTCATGATCCTCGTCCGTCTGATTCTCCTCCGAGTCTGCATACGTTCGAATTATAGTCGCGTTAGCGACGTTTATAGAATAGCACAAAGAAGCAATGAAAGTTCAAAAGAGCCAAATGCACTCAAACATGGGTTCATTGCGTAAAGCTCGATTTTAGATGAATTTTGGTCCTGGTTTCATATTTTTCTGAGGTCATATGAATTAGTTATGAATTTTTGAAGTTTAATTCATCTCTGAAAATGGAAAAGGCTAAATTAATCCTGGGCTGACACGTGTCACACTGTGACTGGTCCACGTGGCATGCTGACGACAGCATGACGTCAGCATGACATCATCGTCTCGGTTCTGGTACTGACAGGTGGGGTCCCGTTGACGTCATCTACGTCATTAGCTACTGACAGGTGGGACCAGGGGCTCTTGGGTCACTGACATGTGGGTCCGGTCAAAGTCAACATCAAGTCAACGGCAAGTCAACGTCACCGTGACCTCAGTCACAGATAGGTGGGGCTAGAGCTGCTGACGTCACCGTGATGTCATCATGACGTCACCTCGACTGCGTTTGTTACTGACAGGTGGGACCCACGTGACGTCGGCATGATGTCACTTACTGACGTGTGGGTCCAGAGTCTCTGTGCCGCTGACATGTGGGGCTAGGTCAACAGTCAATGTTGACCGGTCAACGGTCAACCAGGTTGGGTCTTGATTGGGCTTTGGTGGGCCTGGACGGGGCTAGATTTGGGCCGTGCCGGCCCGGACACGTGGCATGCTGTGGCGCTGCCACGTCGTAGCCAAGGGCCTCCACTGGGCTTCGTCCACCATTCGGCCCACCCTACGTGGTTCACGGTGAACTAGTGTTCACGGTCCATGGACCGTTGGCTGGTCTTCGGTGGACCGAGTCCACCCTTCTTCCCTCTGGCCTGGTTCATGTGCACCGAGGGTAGGCACGTGCGACCGGCGAGGAAGAATTCCTCTGCTTCCCTCCCCGGTGTGTTCTCGCCGGTGGTGTGCTCACCGGCGAGCTTCCACAGCGGCATTGGCGTCCAATTGAGGTGGGGAAAAGCTTTGCCAGGCCCCGGCAAATATGGTAGTGGGGTCAAGGTGGCGGCCAAGGCTTCCCAGGGCATTGGCCACGGTGGTCGGTGGCTTGGTCGTGGCGGTGCTCGTCGGCAGGGCTTCTAGGGGCTGTTCCAGGGGTCCTGGTGCCCCGTTCCCTTTCAGACGGCTAGCGGGCGACAGGGTAAAGTGTCGACGATGACCAAAGGGCGTGGCGGAGTCCGCGCGTAGTGGTGGTGCACGGCGAAGCTCCGACCGGTGGTCTGGTGCTCGTGGCCAAGGCACTACAGCCGGCTA